TGGGGATTTTCTTTCTTTTTTGGGTCACCCTGCCTCGGTGGGGGACGGCCGACTTGTTGAAAAAAAAAAAAAAAATATTGTATATGTATATTATTATTTATATATTATTTATATAGTAGTGCCACATAATGGTAATTTTTTTTTAGCATATGCTTGAGATTCAGAATCATTATTTCTTTATTTTGATGTTAATACAAACCATCATAAATTCAAATGTCAAACTACAGTACATTAACAAGTAATTTATATTTTGTAACCCATCAAAGAAAGGTATATATAGAGTTTAATCCCTTTTTTTTTTTTTTTCTGATGAAAGTGTTTTGAGTGTTAAGGTAAAATGCAGATGTAATGACACTTGTACAGCTGATGGGCTGTTTACCTAATGCCTCATTGTTAGACTTGATGTTTATACTAAAAAAGGCAGGTATTTAATTTTACTTTCTGTTCATCCCCAAAAAGTGATGGGCAATGCATCAAAAACCAATTCGATCATCAGAACATTTAGTATTAAATCAAAAGTGCCCTTTCATTTATTTTCTTGGTCATCAAATATTTTCAAATTTGGTTCCTGTCTATCCACCCATATGTGTACTAGTTTTTAGACTTAGCTAGGATTCAGTTATCTGTGTTAGAAAGTATTAATACCGTTACTTTCCCAATATTTTTGTGAGCAGTTCAAGTTGATTTTGTTCTACAAAAGTATTTTGTTAATTTCATGGTATTACTGAGAACTTTTTTCTCTTTGTTGTGTATTTTGAGGCTTATCAGATATTTTTCTACGCTTTACCAACAGACATTTGAAGTAAGATAATGAGGCTAGCATTCTGTTTTTCCCTGGTACTCATATTTTTTACTCTATATATAGCTATGTACATACAGTGCTTTGTTAGAGTAGGTGTTTATTAAATATCTATAAATGATAATGGGAGCCCTTTGATTGAACTTTGTATAGAAAGGGGTTTAGTTATATGTAATACATATTTTAAGAAAAAGAGGATAAATAAGTATACAAGATATGATGTAGGACGAAATGACAGTAGTTTGTTGGATTATGTATTGGTAGATAAAAGACTGTTGAGTAGACTTCAGGATGTACATGTTTATAGAGGGGCCACAGATATATCAGATCACTTTCTAGTTGTAGCTACACTGAGAATAAAAGGTAGATGGGATACAAGGAGAATAGAAGTATCAGGGAAGAGAGAGGTGAAGGTTTATAAACTAAAAGAGGAGGCAGTTAGGGTAAGATATAAACAGCTATTGGAGGATAGATGGGCTAATGAGAGCATAGGCAATGGGGTCGAAGAGGTATGGGGTAGGTTTAAAAATGTAGTGTTAGAGTGTTCAGCAGAAGTTTGTGGTTACAGGAAAGTGGGTGCGGGAGGGAAGAGGAGCGATTGGTGGAATGATGATGTAAAGAGAGTAGTAAGGGAGAAAAAGTTAGCATATGAGAAGTTTTTACAAAGTAGAAGTGATGCAAGGAGGGAAGAGTATATGGAGAAAAAGAGAGAGGTTAAGAGAGTGGTGAAGCAATGTAAAAAGAGAGCAAATGAGAGAGTGGGTGAGATGTTATCAACAAATTTTGTTGAAAATAAGAAAAAGTTTTGGAGTGAGATTAACAAGTTAAGAAAGCCTAGAGAACAAATGGATTTGTCAGTTAAAAATAGGAGAGGGAGTTATTAAATGGAGAGTTAGAGGTATTGGGAAGATGGAGGGAATATTTTGAGGAATTGTTAAATGTTGATGAAGATAGGGAAGCTGTGATTTCGTGTATAGGACAAGGAGGAATAACATCTTGTAGGAGTGAGGAAGAGCCAGTTGTGAGTGTGGGGGAAGTTCGTGAGGGCAGTAGGTAAAATGAAAGGGGGTAAGGCAGCCGGGATTGATGGGATAAAGATAGAAATGTTAAAAGCAGGTGGGGATATAGTTTTGGAGTGGTTGGTTGCAATTATTTAATAAATGTATGGAAGAGGGTAAGGTACCTTGGGATTGGCAGAGAGCATGCATAGTTCCTTTGTATAAAGGCAAAGGGGATAAAAGAGAGTGCAAAAATTATAGGGGGATAAGTCTGCTGAGTATACCTGGTAAAGTGTATGGTAGAGTTATTATTGAAGAATTAAGAGTAAGAGGAGAATAGGATAGCAGATGAACAAGGAGGCTTTAGGAAAGGTAGGGGGTGTGTGGACCAGGTGTTTACAGTGAAACATATAAGTGAACAGTATTTAGATAAGGCTAAAGAGGTCTTTGTGGCATTTATGGATTTGGAAAAGGCGTATGACAGGGTGGATAGGGGGGCAATGTGGCAGATGTTGCAAGTGTATGGTGTAGGTGGGGGGTTACTGAAAGCAGTGAAGAGTTTTTACGAGGATAGTGAGGCTCAAGTTAGAGTATGTAAGAAAGAGGGAAATTTTTTCCCAGTAAAAGTAGGCCTTAGACAAGGATGTGTGATGTCACCGTGGTTGTTTAATATATTTATAGATGGGGTTGTAAGAGAAGTAAATGTGAGGGTCTTGGCAAGAGGCGTGGAGTTAAAAGATAAAGAATCACACACAAAGTGGGAGTTGTCACAGCTGCTCTTTGCTGATGACATTGTGCTCTTGGGAGATTCTGAAGAGAAGTTGCAGAGATTGGTGGATGAATTTGGTAGGGTGTGCAAAAGAAGAAAATTAAAGGTGAATACAGGAAAGAGTAAGGTTATGAGGATAACAAAAAGATTAGGTGATGAAAGATTGAATATCAGATTGGAGGGAGAGAGTATGGAGGAGGTGAATGTATTCAGATATTTGGGAGTGGACGTGTCAGCGGATGGGTCTATGAAAGATGAGGTGAATCATAGAATTGATGAGGGGAAAAGAGTGAGTGGTGCACTTAGGAGTCTGTGGAGACAAAGAACTTTGTCCTTGGAGGCAAAGAGGGGAATGTATGAGAGTATAGTTTTACCAACGCTCTTATATGGGTGTGAGGCATGGGTGATGAATGTTGCAGCGAGGAGAAGGCTGGAGGCAGTGGAGATGTCATGTCTGAGGGCAATGTGTGGTGTGAATATAATGCAGAGAATTCGTAGTTTGGAAGTTAGGAGGAGGTGCGGGATTACCAAAACTGTTGTCCAGAGGGCTGAGGAAGGGTTGTTGAGGTGGTTCGGACATGTAGAGAGAATGGAGCGAAACAGAATGACTTCAAGAGTGTATCAGTCTGTAGTGGAAGGAAGGCGGGGTAGGGGTCAGGCCTGGGAAAGGTTGGAGAGAGGGGGTAAAGGAGGTTTTGTGTGCGAGGGGCTTGGACTTCCAGCAGGCATGCGTGAGCGTGTTTGATAGGAGTGAATGGAGACAAATGGTTTTTAATACTTGATGTGCTGTTGGAGTGTGAGCAAAGTAACATTTATGAAGGGGTTCAGGGAAACCGGCAGGCCGGACTTGAGTCCTGGAGATGGGAAGTACAGTGCCTGCACTCTGAAGGAGGGGTGTTAATGTTGCAGTTTAAAAACTGTAGTGTAAAGCACCCTTCTGGCAAGACAGTGATGGAGTGAATGATGGTGAAAGTTTTTCTTTTTCGGGCCACCCTGCCTTGGTGGGAATCGGCCAGTGTGATAATATAATATAAAAATAATTCATCTAAGTACATAATGGATGTGACAAATAACATTATGAATAAATAAACATGTTTATGAAAAGTTCATCTTAGAAAAGTGAAAGGCATTAGTGCCGGTGCAGAATGAGATGATTTTTCATCACATCCACATTGTTTTACAGTTATTGTATAGGCTCAGGACATTATAACCACAATGGGAGCTCCTTCAGGTAACAGTGCATTTATTAAATATCTTGTATTTTCCCATAAAACTGCAAGTCTGATGATAGAACTCTGTCCCTTGAAGGAGTGATATTGTGGGGGGGGGGGGGGCTGCCCTGGGTGACACCATCAAGGGGTGACACCATAGAGCCTCTAAAGAAGATGACACTAATGCCCAAAACAGTGCTGCAGCAACATAAGATAAAAATCCTACTTTTCTGTATAGCATCGTATATGATTACAGAGTACAAATAGGCCTATACAAGGAAAATCATTGATTTTGATGTGATAGATGATTTTGCAGGATTGATGGTAAGGGAATGTAAGATCAGATTCACTGAGATGCTACCTCTACTCAAGGTCAAATCAGGACAAGTATTTCTCTGATATTGCAATGTTTTTCTTTATTTTTTATTTTTTTTTTTTTTTTGCATTGTTGAAGACGAATAAATGTAAAATCTGTTGCCTGTACTCAAAGTGGTATTTGAGTTAATGTTTCCTCAATATTACTACAATTATTTATTTTATCATTATTAAAGTTGAGAAGTATTCTGCTGTTCGATTTATGGCCCTTAAACATTCTTGTTGCTAAACATTAGTCACTGGGCATGCAGTAGTGACGTAACTGGAGTTTACTCCCTCCATCTCCCACCGCCCTTGGATTTCATGGAGGTGACACCAAAGATGCCGCCTCGGGTGACACCAACCTTAGCAACGCTGCTGCCTTGAAGGTTATCCCATCACCTTGTATCTTTCATGTGTTGCTTGTACATTAGGCAAGAAAGAGTAGCCAGTGTTATGGCACTAGGTGCACATCACAATGACCTGGAGCACCAGAAATTTTAGGTAGTCAGTTTTGGTATTCATTGAAGTTGCTTCTTTGTAATATATCATAACTTACAATACTTTGGTTGACAGACATTATAGCGAAGATTTGTGGTATACCGTATTCTAGTAAAACTGTATCACATACTGGTATACATTAACCTAACTATTTAGGAAACTATCATCTCAAATGTTATGCAAGGCTTTATGGTAAAATCCTTCAAGGAAGGCACCTTAATGCCAGTGAAGGGCTCTTCATTTACGAAATTAAGACTTCCCTTCCCAGGTGCTGTATGACCCCAGTGGGTTTAGCATTTCCCCATTAATTTAATTCATTACAAGACATGGAATATAAGTTCTGTTATTCATTTTGACCATTTTTTTAGGTATCCAACCTACGAACTCAAGTAGAGGAACAGGAGACAAGTTTGAAAGCTCAAGAAGAGGAAGTAATGTCTAAGAGGCAAGAGTTGACAGACCTCAAAAATCAGGAGAACCAGCTAGAGGAGTGTGTGGCATCCCTGAAAAAAAGGATAGACGAGTTCAGTGTTACACAGCAAGATACACAGCTTCACATATCACAGGTATAGATTTTTTATATTATTTTGGTAGGGCTGTTTAAAAGGGATTCCAAGAAATCTGCCCTATCACTTTCATGAATTTCATCGATGTATCCTCCACAACGACTGATATTAATATAGTTATTTTTTTTTCGCATTGCTGTCTTCCTCCAGGGTAGGGTAATACAAAGGAAACAGTACATTCACCATCATTCATTCAGGCCTGCTGGATGTTCTAGTCCCTATAACTCAAAGCCTCTTTTACCCCTCTCCAACCATTCTTGGGGCATCCTGTTTACCTCTTACCTCCCGTACCAGATTTATACACCCACTTCTTCAACAATCCCTCTTTATCCTCTGCATTACCAAACCACCTTGGCATTTCTTCTTAGCCCTCTGAATTATACCCTAGCTGATACCACATCACTCTTTAGCTTCTACACTCCAAATTCTATGCATAATACTCGCACCACACATTGCTCTCAAACACTACCTCTGTTTCTTCTATGATTCAAATTCATGTGTTCTTCTGTTTGCTCAAAACTTGTCTTGATCCAGGTAAGCATTTTCATTCACATCCCAGTCCTCCCACCCTCCCTTTCTTGTATTCATCTGTAAATTTTATATTGTCAATGCTATTTTTACTTTTCACGACTGAGAGAGAGTTAACAATAAAGCCTAAATTGGAATTCTTGAAAACTGTAATACAATTTAGTATGAAGAATCAAACAAAAACAATTTTTGAAAACATTTTGATTTTCAGCCTTCATCATGATTAAAATTAATGAGATTGAGTTTTTCCACATTAATAATCTTACTAAATGTAAACAAAAACATTTTTTGGAAATCTTAATTTGAATTGGTGGTTCATGTTTGTGGACTGACACGTGTTCCTTCTAATGTATTGCAGGTACGCATAAAGATTACAGAGTTGCAAGAACAGGAACGACACATGTCTGAAGTTCTATCATCATATGATTCTGCCATTTCCTCTGGCGATGCATCGTCCCTGTCAGAGTCCTCCCTTAGAGAAATCACTCCTACTTTCTCGGACCCTAGCTACCTCCACATAGGTCCGTCTCCAACAGTCAGCCCGAAGGTGAGTATCTTGATGCTGTAGGTAATGAAAAATAATTGTCTTCAGGATTTTCAAGAAAACCGAACTGTTCAAAGTTAATATAATGACAATTTTGTATTCTTGATATAAGGTTGAACATGCTCACCAAGTCTTTTAAGAATACAATGTGTGTGTAAACACTTGAACACAATTTTTAGATAAAAAGTGATGTTAAAGGATCGTGTTCTGAAATTTTTTTTTATCCTTTATTGGAGATAGGATCAAGTATTTTTTTTTTTTTTTATAATTCAGGAAAATGCACATGATGAGAATTTAATAAGTATGTCAAAAGTACATTGAATGAGATCTAGGTACTGTTTTAAAACTCGACAACAAATCCAACTCGTGTATTCAGAGTTGACATTTTGAAACATATTAAAGCTCTTGATTCAGTGTTTGCATAATTTTTTGGTTAGACAAATGGGCGAGTAAGCTGACAAATTGCAAGAGACTCTGGTAGTAGGGAATCTTTTTATTGTGATGTTCCACCCAAGGCAGGGCTTTAGGTATATAGGAATAAGCAAATACAGTGCCTAATACGGTAAATGAGCACCCTGAGGTCAGGCTCTGAGAAAGGTTAAAAGTGAGATAAGGGTGAAGTCAGGAGTGGTCAGGTATTGGTTAGACTAGAGGGCAGAGCTTAGTTAACAGTCATATAGGGCTTATTATATAAATTATGGGTAATATGAATAGGTTTAGCTAATACATACATTCAATTTTTGTGTTTGATGATATTGAAGTGATTTATGGCTGCTTCTAAAATTCTGTATTTCTTGTTCTCATGGTGTAACTGTTGTACTCTTCTCTATTTCATGATGTGAGAATATAGGTTGTAATGGACTGTGTATTGTTAGTGCAATCCATCCTACAGGACTGTTTGGTCTTGAAAATGTCTGAAGGTCTTTGCAAGTCTCTCTCAGAATTTTTCACATTCAATACATAATACAGTAGAACTTCGGCCTCAGTAAGTACTGATGGCAAAAAATTTTTTAGGCTTAAAACACTCGCCAAAATGTTAGGATTATTTTACTAAGAATTTTTTTTTTTTTTCGAATATTTTGCGATCATACAATGACAGCTTCAGAAAGGGGCCTGCAACAGTCAAAGGGTTAAACTGTCCAAACGTAGATCTACGTTTGCATGCGTAGCACTCTGAATGTAGATCTATGTTTTTTTACATAAGAATGTAAAATCGAACGTAGATCTACGTTCGGAGCACTGTGTGTGTGAATGTAGATCTGTGTTTGGACAGCTTAAGGATTAACAAGTCGGCTGTCTCCCACTGAGACAGGGTGACCCAAAAAGAAAGAAAATCCCCAAAAAGCAACTACGTACCTTTATCATCATTCAACACTTTCACCTCTCTCACACATAATCACAGTTTTTGCAGAGGTGCTCAGAATACAACAGTTTAGAAACATACATATAAAGATACACAATATATCCCTCCAAACTGCCAATATCCCAAACCCCTCTTCTGAAGTGCAGGCATTGTACTTCCCATTTCCAGGACTTACGTCCGGCTATATAAAAATAACCGGTTTCCCCGAATCCCTTCACTAAATATTACCCTGCTCACATTCCAACAGCTCGTCAGGTCCCAAATACCGTTCGTCTCCATTCACTCCTATCTAACACGCTCACGCATGCTTTCTGGAAGTCCAAGCCCCTCGCCCACAAAACCTCCTTTACCCCCCTCCCTCCAACCTTTTCGAGGGCGACCCCTACCCCACCTTCCTTTCCCTACAGATTTATACGCTCTCCATGTCATTCTACTTTGATCCATTCTCTCTAAATGACCAAACCACCTCAACAACCTCTTCAGCCCTCTGACTAATACTTTTTTTTTTTTAACTCCACACCTTCTCCTAATTTCCACACTCTGAATTTTCTGCATAATATTTACACCACACATTGCCCTTAGACAGGACATCTCCACTGCCTCCGACTGTCTCCTCGCTGCAGCATTTACAACCCAAAAAGCTCGACCTGATGAACTTGAAGACACCAGCAATCAACCTTTATAATATCTTTGATTTACTTCAAAAAATTTAGCTTTGAATAGCTTATTATTAAAAATTAATATCAAAAGTGAGGCAGTAACTTGGTTTACAGGATGATTTACAACTTTAATGCCACTTCTTTTTTTGATGTCAGGAATCACCGAAAGAGCCTGAGCCACCTCAACAGAACGGTTTACTTGACCAGGAGCCTGTCAGTGAGTATGAAATGATTTAGTTGACATTTTATAGTCTCTCTTGGTGACTGCAGTGGTATGAGCAGAGGGGTTATATGTACTGTTGGTCAAAGATTTTTTATAATAAAGCCACATTTACTATGTGCAGACTATGAAGAGGATGGAGAGAAAATATGTGCGAGTTCCTGGTTAAGTTGCATATGCATTGCTATCTATAGTTATCTTGTATTCAGTACAGTGGTCCCTCGTTCGTATTAATCCGTTCCTGGAGCCGTTACTATAAACGAAATTTACGATTTACGAATCGATTTTCCCCATAAGAAATAATGTAAATACAATTAATCCGTTCCTGACACCCAGAAGTATTAAAACAAAAAAATTTTTAACATGAAATATGCATGTAGTACATAAACAATACAATGGGAAATGATGAATGAAACATTAACAGCATAACACTTACCTTTATTGGAGATTCTTCTTAGTGTATGGGAGACTGGAGGAGGAGAGAGAGTGGATTGTTTATAGTTTGGAAGGGGAATCCCCTTCCATCAACACCTCAGGTACCATTTGCTTTTCTGGAGTTGCTTCTCTTCTCTGTTTCTTAATGCCACTGGGACCACCTTGAGAGTCACTGGAGTCCTGTCTCACAAAATAACTGTGGAGAGAGCTCTGTTTCGGGCATCTCTTTAACACTTCCCTAAAATGGCCCAAGACTTTGTCACTTTTACATGTTGCCAACCTGGCTTGCAACAACCTTGTTAGGGTGATGTTTCTCCATAAAGCTTTCCATCTTACCCCACATAGTAAAAATCTCTTCAATTTCTGAAGAAGGCACCTTTTTCCCATCTCTCTTCCTCCTCCTCTGCAGCAAGATTCTGAGCTGCGATGTGTTGCTCTTCCTGCTGAAGCTCTTGCAGCTCCTCAGTGGTGAGCTCTTCATTGTGGTCTTCCACCAATTCTTCAACATCCTCCAAACTCACATCCAACCCCATGGAACTCCCCAGTGCCACAATTGATTTTAAAACAGACATAGGCTCATTAGGGTCAGTCCCAAATTCTTCAAAATCCCTCTTGTCGACACAATCTGGCCACAATTTTCTCCAGGCAGAGTTTAAAGTCCTGGTAGTCACTCCCTCCCAAGCCATACCTATAAGGGTTATGCAGTGGAGGATGCTGAAGTTGTTCTCTCCAAAATTCCCTTAGGGTCAAGTGAGTGTCTGTGGTCACAGTCAAGCACCTGTGAAACATTGTTTTTTATGTAGAGTTTTTTAAAGTTTGCAATAACCTGCTGGGCCAGGGGTTTTGGAGGAGAGGAGTGGTTTTCGGGGGCAAGAACTTAACTGTGATGAACCCAAACTCCTCGAAAATTAGGTCATCCAAGTTTGGAGGATGAGCAGGTGCATTGTCCATTACTAGCAGGCACTTGAGATCCAATTTCTTTTCCAGGAGATACTCCTTCACACTAGGGCCAAACACTTCATTGAACCACTCGACGAAAATTTCCCTCGTGACCCATGCCTTACTATTAGATTTCCAAAACACACACAATTTACTCTTCAAAAACATTGTTTTTCCTGAACACTCTGGGATTTTCAGAATGGTACACTAGTAATGGCTTCACTTTGAAATCCCCACTAGCATTAGCACAGAACATTAGCGTCAGCCTGTCTTTCATAGGCTTGTGTCCTGGCATTGCCTTTTCCTCTTGTGTAATGAAGGTCCTCTTTGGCATTTTCTTCCAAAAGAGGCCTGTTTCGTCACAATTGAACACTTGTTCAGGTTTCGGTCCTTCAGCCTCTATGTACTCCTGGAATTCAAGCACATATTTTTCAGCCGCCTTGTGGTCCGAATTGGCAGCCTCACCATGCCTTACCACACTGTGTATGCCAGTACGGTTCTTAAATCTCTCAAACCAGCCCTTTTCTGGCCTTAAATTCACTCACTTCACCACTATTTGCAGGCAATTTCTTTACCAAATCTTCATGCAACTGCCTAGCCTTTTCACAAATAAACGAAGTCATAAGAGTATCTCCTGCTAATTGTTTCTCATTTATCCACACCAATAATAACTTCTCAACCTCTTCCAGTACTGGTGATCTCATTTTTGTCAGCATAGTTTACTCCTTTGCAACAACAGCATCCTTTATTTCATTTTTCTTGGCCACTATGGAACATAAGGTTGTGTAGGGTTTCTTATGCATCCTGGACAGTTCGGGCCCCACTTGTACCACTTTCATATTGTTCAATGATGGTTTTCTTAAATTCAATCGTATTTCTCACCTTCTTTACCACAGGCTTGGCACTAGGAGCTTTCTTTGGAGCCATGGTAGCTTATTTAGTACTTGCAAGCACTAAAATAAATGGAATATTATGAAATATTTCGCTGGAGCACGTGAGGGGACCTTCGCTCACTGGTAAACAATGCCAGACTGGCTGCCGCCCTGGCTCACGCCGTGGGTACGCGTCCGGGACGAACTACGACTCGCGAGTCAACCTATGAGAAGCGAGTCCATGTTTATACGAAAATACCTCTATGATTGGCGAATTTTGCGATTGCCGGGAACTACGAAAAGCGGGGGATCACTGTATTTAGTTTGTTGTAAATGCTTTTCTAAATTTATAGTGGGTGTTCGTCTTTTTAAAATTTATAGTACAGTGGACCCCCGGTTAACGATATTTTTTCACTCCAGAAGTATGTTCAGGTGCCAGTACTGACCGAATTTGTTCCCATAAGGAATATTGTGAAGTAGATTAGTCCATTTCAGACCCCCAAACATACACGTACAAACGCACTTACAAAAATACACTTACATAATTGGTCGCATTCGGAGGTGATCGTTATGCGGGGGTCCACTGTATATAGAGCATGCACACACTGAATCCCATTCTAGTTCTACTACAGGAGAACTGTTTCTTTCTGGTTTCATAGATTGCAATTTTGGTTGTGTCTTTTAGTGATTTTAATGAAATCTAACTTTTCTGTTCTCTACTTCATAAGATACTTTTTTTTTTTTTTTTTTTCAACAAGTCGGCCGTCTCCCACCAAGGCAGGGTGACCCAAAAAAGAAAGAAAATCCCCAAAAAGAAAATACTTTCATCATTCAACACTTTCACCACACTCACACATTATCACTGCTTTTGCAGAAGTGCTCAGAATACAACAGTTTAGAAGCATATACGTATAAAGATACACAACATATCCCTCCAAACTGCCAATATCCCAAACCCCTCCTTTAAAGTGCAGGCATTGTACTTCCCATTTCCAGGACTCAAGTCCGACTATATGAAAATAACCGGTTTCCCTGAATCCCTTCACTAAATATTACCCTGCTCACACTCCAACAGATCTTCAGGTCCCAAGTATCATTCGTCTCCATTCACTCCAATCTAACACGCTCATGCACGCTTGCTGGAAGTCCAAGCCCCTCGCCCACAAAACCTCCTTTACCCCCTTTCCAACCCTTTCGAGGATGACCCCTACCCTCCTTCCTTCCCCTACAGATTTATATGCTTTCCATGTCATTCTACTTTGATCCATTCTCTCTAAATGACCAAACCACCTCAACAACCCCTCTTCTGCCCTCTGACTAATGCTTTTATTAACTCCATACCTTCTCCTAATTTCCACACTCCGAATTTTCTGCATAATATTTACACCACACATTGCCCTTAGACAGGACATCTCCACTGCCTCCAACCGTCTCCTCGCTGCTGCATTTACCACCCAAGCTTCACATCCATATAAGAGTGTTGATACTACTATACTTTCATACATTCCCTCCTTTGCCTCCATAGATAACGTTTTTTGACTCCACATATACCTCAACGCACCACTCACCTTTTTTCCCTCATCAATTCTATGATTAACCTCATCCTTCATAAATCCATCCGCCGACACGTCTACTCCCAAGTATCTGAAAACATTCACTTCTTCCATACTCCTCCTCCCCAATTTGATATCCAATTTTTCTTTATCTAAATCATTTGATACCCTCATCACCTTACTCTTTTCTATGTTCACTTTCAACTCTCTACCTTTACACACATTCTCAAACTCATCCACTAACCTTTGCAATTTTTCTTTAGAATCTCCCATAAGCACAGTATCATCAGCAAAAAGTAACTGTGTCAATTCCCATTTTGAATTTGATTCCCCATAATTTAATCCCACCCCTGTCCCGAACACCCTAGCATTTACTTCTTTTACAACCCTATCTATAAATATATTAAACAACCATGATAACATTACACATCCCTGTCTAAGACCTACTTTTACCGTGAAGTATTCTCCCTCTCTTCTACACACCCTAACCTGAGCCTCACTATCCTCATAAAAGCTCTTTACAGCATTTAGTAACTTACCACCTATTCCATATACTTGCAACATCTGCCACATTGCTCCTCTATCCACTCTATCATATGCCTTTTCTAAATCCATAAATGCAATAAAAACTTCCCTACCTTTATCTAAATACTGTTCACATATTCACATATATTCACATAAGTGAATGCGAGGGTCTTGGCAAGAGGCGTGGAGTTAAAAGATAAAGAATCACACGTAAAGTGGGAGTTGTCACAGTTGCTCTTTGCTGATGACACTGTGTTCTTGGGAGATTCTGAAGAGAAGTTGCAGAGATTGGTGGATGAATTTGGTAGGGTGTGCAAAAGAAGAAAATTAAAGGTGAATACAGGAAAGAGTAAGGTTATGAGGATAACAAAAAGATTAGGTGATGAAAGATTGGATATCAGATTGGAGGGAGAGAGTATGGAGGAGGTGAATGTATTCAGATATTTGGGAGTGGACGTGTCAGCGGATGGGTCTATGAAAGATAAAGTGAATCATAGAATAGATGAGGGAAAAAGGGTGAGTGGTGCACTTAGGAGTCTGTGGAGACAAAGAACTTTGTCCTTGGAGGCAAAGAGGGGAATGTATGAGAGTATAGTTTTACCAACGCTCTTATATGGGTGTGAAGCATGGGTGATGAATGTTGCAGCGAGGAGAAGGCTGGAGGCAGTGGAGATGTCATGTCTGAGGGCAATGTGTGGTGTGAATATAATGCAGAGAATTCGTAGTTTGGAAGTTAGGAGGAGGTGCGGGATTACCAAAACTGTTGTCCAGAGGGCTGAGGAAGGGTTGTTGAGGTGGTTCGGACATGTAGAGAGAATGGAGCGAAACAGAATGACTTCAAGAGTGTATCAGTCTGTAGTGGAAGGAAGGCGGGGTAGGGGTCGGCCTAGGAAAGGTTGGAGGGAGGGGTAAAGGAGGTTTTGTGTGCGAGGGGCTTGGACTTCCAGCAGGCATGCGTGAGCGTGTTTGATAGGAGTGAATGGAGACAAATGGTTTTTAATACTTTATGTGCTGTTGGAGTGTGAGCAAAGTAACATTTATGAAGGGGTTCAGGGAAACCGGCAGGCCGGACTTGAGTCCTGGAGATGGGAAGTACAGTGCCTGCACTCTGAAGGAGGGGTGTAAATGTTGCAGTTTAAAAACTGTAGTGTAAAGCACCCTTCTGGCAAGACAGTGATGGAGTGAATGATGGTGAAAATTTTTCTTTTTCGGGCCACCCTGCCTTGGTGGGAATCGGCCAGTGTGATAATAAAAAAAATAAAATATATGCTTCAATGTAAACTCTTGATCTACACATCCCCTACCCACTCTGAAGCCTCCCTGCTCATCCGCAATCCTACATTCTGTCTTACGTCTAATTCTTTCAATTATAACCCTACCGTATACTTTTCCTGGTATACTCAGTATATTTTATATCCTCTTCCTCCTGCATAACAATGGACAAGTGCCTTCAGTTTTTTTTATATAATGTTACTGTATGCAGTTACTAAAAAGAGGGAAATTTTAAGATTTGATTGTTTGTAATGTAGTACAGGTGTTAGTGAAGAACCAAGTGTTATAAATGAAAGAAAATTAGTTGTCCTAGTACGAAGTAAAATAATTTAAAAATTAGCAAGCAATTTTGAATGGGTAAGATTTCAGAAAGTTTTATTAAGTTGCATGTAACTAAAAAAAAAATGAGCTAAAGGAGTAATAATAATTAATTAAATATTGTGGAAGAAAAAAAGGTGGTATAAATATTTAAATTCAAGAAGAGGGTTAATTGAAGGCTTTTGGTAAAAAAAGATAGTAAAGGGGAGAACATTTGCATACTAAGTGTTTAACCCCTTTGCCTTATGTACCGTAGTTCTATGGGTTTGTAGTCCTGTCTGTGCCATAGAACTATTCGATGAGCTTGGCTCACTCAAATAAACAGTGAGCAGTAAATTTGGGCCTGAATGTGAGAGAATGGATAGGTGTGGTAACTGTGCACCATACAGAAAGAATCCTGCCCCATGCAGTGTATAATGGGGGGAAAAAAATGACTGTTTTTTAGGTTTAACTCTTTCAGGGTCCAGACCCTTGATCTGAAACTTGTCCACAGGGTCCAAGAATTTTTAAAGCATATTTGTTGTTATGAAATGGTAGAGAATCTTCTTCTGAAGGTAATAAAATAAGAAGTACGAAATTTGATGGGAAAATTGACAAAATTACATTCTCGCAAATTTTGCTGCTTACGATATTTATGCATCGACGATTTTCCCACATTAACTCCCATTTTAGACCAATTACATTATTCCGTTCAACCAAATTGCTAGTACTACTTCTATTATATCGATTGAGCACAAGAAATCGCCCAGTCGACTATTTCAACTACCCAATAAAGCGATTGGAAATTGGTAATTTGGCCAATTTCACACAAAGTTCGAAATAGGGTCCAGAATAAACAATGCAGGCATTCCTGGCACTAAAATAACATTTCCTATGTTTATTAGTTACATTTTGAGGCTTTACAAATGAATTCCATTTTGATTTTTTTATTCACGTAAAGAATTTTTATTCACACCAAAAAATAGAAGATTTACTGTTATGCAGTATTGTAATAATTGTATAAATATCAGTGCATTCGTGAATGCGCATTAGACCCACCAGCTGACATGTATTAGACATGTAGCATTTGTTTTGAACATCAGCAAAAACTGAACATTTCCTCTACTTTGAGCTCAGTTTCAAGCTGTTTTCAATACTAAAACCAATCAAAATCATCTCTATTTCTGTAATATATCCTTCATTGTATCAAATGAGCCCAAGAAACCACGAATACAACCGTAAAAAACATGAAAATTACCACAAATCCTCTGTTTTAGTCCAAAAACACGGTCGCAGTTTTTTCTCACGCACTTCGTGCTGCAGGATTCGTTTTATACCACACAGATGCATTCTCTCATATGTAGGCCCAGATTTACCTCTAACTGCTTATCTGAGCGAGCTGAGCTCATGATGTAGTACTACAGCTTGGACCCTGGTTTCAAAGCCGTAAAACTGTGACGAACCCTCAAAGGGTTAATAGCGACTTTGCAGTTTGTTTTCGAATGGTTTTTATATTGTATTCTTGGTACTAAAAGTGTGTGTTGTGTATGTGTTGTGTGTGTGCTGTGTGTGTGTTATGTGTGTGTGTGTGTGTGTGTGTGTGTGTGTGTATACTCGCCTATTTGTAATGACCTATTTGTGGTTGCAGGGGTCGAATCATAGCTCCTGGCCCCGCCTCTTCACTGCTACTAGGTCCTCTCTCTCCCTGCTCCATGAGCTTTATCAAACCTCGTCTTAAAACTATGTATGGTTCCAGCCTCCACTACGTCACTTTCTAGGCTATTCCACTGCCTGACAACTCTATGGCTGAAGAAATGCTTCCTAACATTCCTTTGACTTGTGAGTCTTCAACTTCCAATTGTGACCCCTTGTTTCTGTGTCCCATCTCTGGAACATACTATCTTTGTCCACCTTGTCTATTCCATGCAGTATTTTATATGTCGTTATTATGTCTCCCCTGACCCTCCTGTCCTCCAGTGTCGTCAGGCCAATTTCCCTTAATCTTTCTTCGTAGGACAATCCTCTTAGCTCTGGAACTAGTCTTGTTGCAAACCTTTGCACTTTCTCTAATTTCTTGATATGCTTGACCAGGTGTGGATTCCAAACTTGTGCTGCATACTCCAGTATGGGCCTGACGTATATAGTGTACAGTCTTGAAGGATTCCTTACTGAGGTATCGGAGCGCTATCCTTAGGTTTGCCAGACGCCCGTATGCTGCAGCAGTTATCTGATTGATGTGCACCTCAATAGATGTGCTCAGTATTATACTCACCCCAAGATCTTTTTCCTTAGTTTGCAGTCTTTGGCCATCTAGGCTATACTCTGTCTGCAGTCTTTGCCCTTCCCAGTGTGTGTGCGCGCGTGCGCGTTTATGTGTACTCGCCTAGTTGTGGTTGCTGGGGTCGAGTCAGCTCCTGACCCCACCTCTTCACTGGTCGTTACTAGGTCACACTACCTGCTCCATGAGCTTTATCATACCTGTGTTTAATTTTTTTTTTTAACAGCGCCCACATCCCACAAAGGCAGCATGACCTAAAATGAAAAACTAAAGTTTTTCATTTTACATTTAATAATTTATCCAGGAGAAGGGGTTACTAGCCCCTTGCTCCAGGCTTTTTAGTCGCCTCCTATGACATGCATGGCTTATCGAGAAAGAATTCTTTTCCACTTTCCCATGGAGATGCTATTAATATGTCTAATTATTGTGTATTTATGAAGAGGACTTGTGATACCATATCAATGATAAAGATGATTTGTATTGCCTTTTTCCAGGTAATCCTAAAGCCAAAGATACCTCATTCTCCGGGGCACATGATCCATTTGCTGCAGCTTTTGGTGGACAGCAAAATAATGTGAGTGTTTCATCATTCATGTATGCATGAGAATGATTAAAATTAATGCTAGATATTGAATTTCTGCTGTGATGGATTACTGAGAGGGGGTAATTAGTGTAAGCAGGAGCTGAGAGAGTAAATATAAAAAGTTAAGTTTCTTTCATTATGTAAACTGATGACAAAATACTATACATACATGTAGAATGCATTTACAGAATCATTCTGACAAAACATTATGGGAATGCAAATAAAAGACAACCCGGTTGTTGTTCTTGGTGAAGAATAGGTAACCATTGTGGTAAATGTGGGCTTAGTGCAGTTTTGAACAGGCATGTAATGGCACATCATTTTTAAATTGACTGCACATGCAAGTATAATTGTATTGATTTTTTTTTTTCAGGTGGATGTATTTGGTAATTGGGAACAAAACCTGGCAGCAACTGAAAACAATCCACCACCAGCTGTTGACCCATTTGGGGGAGATTCCTTTGCCACACAAGCAAAGGTAGGGTTTGTGGAGTGCACTATAGTACTCGACGCTAAATTGATTTGTCAGTCTTCTCTAAACAGAATTCCTAAAATATTTTTTTTTCCAACAAACCAGCCATATCCCACCAAGGTAGGGTGGCTCAAAAAGAAAAACAAAAATTTCTCTTTTTAAATTTAATAATTTTTATAGAAGGGGTTACTAGGCCCTTGCTCTCGGCATTTTAGTCGCCTCTTACAACACACACGGATTACGGAGGAAGAATTCTGTTCCACTTCCCCATGGAGATAAGAGGAAATAAACAAGAACAAGAACTAGAAAGAAAATAGAAGAAAACCCAGACGGGTGTGTATATGCTTGTACATGTATGTGTAGTGTGACCTAAGTGTAGGTAGAAGTAGCAAGACGTACCTGAAATCTTGCATGTTTAAGAGACAGAAAAAAGACACCAGCAATCCTACCATATGTAAAACAATTACAGGATTCCGTTTTCACTCGGCAGGACGGTAGTACCTCCCTGGGCGGTTGCTGTAAAATGTACACCTACCATTCGACTTACGACCGAGTTCGGTTCCGAGAAACCGGTCGTAAGTCGAATTGGTGGTTAGTCAAACTTTACTACTGAATATCAACAAAATATTTTTGTAATGACTTTATTTTATTGTTTTATTTTGGTATTCATGTTTTACTTTACTTTTTATGCTGTAAGTACTGTATTTTATACTGTAAGGTTTAGGATAAGCACTGTGTACAACACAAATAGTTGTTTATTTCCCAGAAATTTGGCATAAAAAACACGGTCATAAGTCGAGTGGTCGTAAGTTGGATGGTAGGTGTATTTTTTTTTTTTTTTTAACAAGTCGGCCGTCCCCACCGAGGCAGAGTGACCCAAGAAAAAAGAAAATCCCCAAAAAGAAAACTTTCATCATCATTCAACACTCTCACCTCACTCACACACAATCACTGTTTTTGCAGAGGTACTCAGAATACAACAGTTTAGAAGTACACAACATATCCCTCCTCCACAGGAGGAGATAGGGTGTGTCTTTTGTTCTTCTGAATTTATTTTCATTATGTTTCTTCTCGGTACTTTTTATTTTCATCTCTGTTCTTTAAAGAGATCAGAAAAGATTGAATATGTTACTTTAGATGTATGTAAATTAGTCTCCCACCTAGGCAAGGTGACTCAAAAAGATAGAAAATCCCCGAAACAAAAATACTTTCATCATCATTCAACACTTTCACCTCACTCATATATAATCATTGTTTTTTGCAGAGGCACCCAGATACATCAGAGACATCCTTATCAACCTGCTATGGGTAGGGCATATAACACTATATAAATACAAAAAAATTAGTAAAAAAATGTGAATTTAGTTTCTATGTAGTGAAAAACTTGATGTCCTGAAGCTTATTAATAGGCTGATGCAGTTTTGCATAGCATCAGAATATAGGAAGTGGCATAACTAAAGGTATAATTCAGAGGGCTGAGGAGTGGGTTGTGTTGGTAGTTTGTGTATTTAAGAGAGACTGGAATAGATTAGGATGACCATGAGGATGTATAAATCTGTGGTGGAAAGGAGGAGGAATAAAGGTCATCCTAGGAAAGGTTAGAGGGAGGAGATAATGAAGGGTTTACAGGCTTGAAGTTATAGAAGGCTTAGATTGGAATAAGTGGAGACAAGTGGATTTTAATGCTTAATTTGCTGTTGGAGTGTAAGGTAGGTAACATTATAAAAGGATTCATAATGTTACATAGAATTCTGGAGGTGGATAGTGTAGGGCATTCCCACCTCAATAAAGAAAAAGTAGGGGTGTTGCATTTCACAGGGTCATTTCAATTGTTATGTCTGCACTCTTCAGGCAAGACAATTATGGAATGAGTGATGGTGAAGGTATTACCTTTTTTGGGCTCATCCTTCCTCAGTGGGAGACAGCTGGTGTGTTAAAAAAAAAAAAAATACATGCTGGCACTCACTTGCCATGGGATTGCTGTAAGTGGCATTTGAAAGTGGCCATACACACACTTAACTGCCATAGTTGAGATGGCACTCAGTTAAGAACATTTTTCTATTAATTAGATTTTCGCATTTTTGGACTTGCAAATGTGTCGAGTAACAATTTTGAATATATTTTTGGTGTCTGAATTTGTTTGCCTGGCAGTCGAGTACTTTGTACAAATAAGCGTGTTCTGGTTAATAGAGTATTAATTGCATTCAAGCTTTTTCCTCATATCTTACATCTTACTGAGAGAACTCGAGTGCACATGAATTGCCTTTCATAAATTATTACTGTAGTAATATTACTGCTGTATTAATTAAGGAATGTTTTTTCTCAATTAGGGTGCTAATGATTCATTTGGGAGTGAACCGTTCAGCTCTGGGGGTGGTCCTCCACCAAGACCTGAAAGTCCTACTCCAGCTCTTCCACCAAAGAAATCTAAACAGCCACCTCCAAGACCTGCACCTCCTAAGACTCGGCCAGCAAAGCCACCACCACCACAAATAAATTCCAATAATAATCCCACTACTAACCCTACTACAAAAACTAATACAAACACTAATTCAAATACTGTCTCTAATGACCCCTTTGTTGGGGGTTGGGGAGACAATAAAACTGCAAATGCAGCAAATAATGGCGGCTTCGCAGATTTTGCCAACTTTGCAGATTTCGATACAAAGGTGAGTTTTTTTTTTTTACTAGAAGTTTTGAGCTTTATAAGTTGTTGTGTGCATTGCTATGAATGTTGCATTTTTATTTTTGGGTAAAATTCTGAGCAGACATCGCATCATATGTGCACTGATTAACCCTTAAACGGTCCAAAGAGATTGACGTTCAAATTCGTAGTGCTACAAAAGTAGATCTACTTTTTTTTTACATATTTTCAAATATAACAAAAAAAAAAAATGTAGATAAAAGTTTTTTTTACACGTTTTCAAATGTAAAACAAAAAAGAAGATCTACATTTTTTTTACATACTTTAAGATGTTGAAAAAACGTATATATACGTTTGGACCATTTAAGGGTTAACTCTTTGAGGGTCTGTGCCGTAGATCTACGGCTTTACGTTCAGAGTCCAAACCGTAGATCTACGCCATGAGCTCAGCTCGCTCTGATAAGCTGCGAGTGGTAAATTTGGACCTAGATATGAGAGAATACATCTATGTGGTATGTGTGGGCCACATAAAACAAATCCTGCAGCACACAGCGTATAATGAGAGAAAAAAAAAGGAGACCGTGATTTTCGATTAAAACAGTGACTGCAGTGTTTTTTCGTATGTTTTTTATACTTGTATTTGCGATTTCTTGGTCTCATTTGATAGAATGGAAGATATATTACAGAAAGAGAGATGATTTTGATTGGTTTTAGCACTGGAAATGGCTTGAAACTGAGCTCAAAGTAGAGGAAATGTTAAATTTTTATCGATGTTCAAGAGTAAACAAACGACCTTACACGTCTAATACACGCCAGCTGGTGGGTCTAATATACATTCACAAATGTGGGGATTATATTTATACAGTTATTACAATGTTGCATAACAGTAAATTTTTTAAATTTTTTGGTTTGAATAAAAATTCATTATGTGAATGAAAAAATCAAATGGAATTCATTTTTTAAAGCCTCAAAATGTTAACTAATGAACAGAGGAAATGTTAGTTTAGTTCCAGGGAAAGTCTGCATTGTTTATTCTAGAAACCCATTTTAAAAAATTGGGAAAATTTAAACTTTGTGTTTAATTGGGCCAAATTAACAATTTTCTGATCACTTTATTTGTAGTTGAAACAGATGACTGGGTGAATTTAAATTTTGCTCAATCGATAGAATAGAAGTATGCTAGTGAAATACTAAGAATTTGGTCGACTGGAATAAGTTAATTTGGGCCCAAAATGGGAGTCAAACTCTGGGAAAATCGCCGATTCGTAAATATTGCTGACACATCAAAATTCACAAGAGCATAATTTTGTCAATTTTCCATCAAAATTTTGTACTTTTTGTTTTATTACCTTCACAAAAAGATTCTCTACCATTTCATAAGAAAAAATAACAAAATTTGTTTTTTTAAAATTCTTGGACCCTGGTGCGCAAATTCGAAATTTGGCCTCTGGACCCTGAAAGGGTTAAATGATAGGCGGACAAAGAGCAGTTTGAATGTTTCTCGTGTCTCCTTGAAAGAAAAAGGAACTGCACAAATGCTGGATACAAATCATTGATGAAACTGTAGTTCTGACAAATTAAAAAGTTAATGTAAATACCAAAATAAGTTTTTCAGGGAAGCTCATTACCCAAGGTCTTCAATAATTAAGTTTCCCAGAGTTACTCCCTCTGATGTACTTTTTTAAAAATTTATTTTTTTCCAGTTGTCTTTGACAGGGTAGTCACTCAATGTCAGCATTAATAATTATAACTTGGGATTTTGTTATTCTTGAGAAACCACCTCATTCATGATATTAACAAGCGCTTGCACCAAGTCATAAATGTAGTGACGAAAAAGAAATAATAATAGTTTCTATTTAAGAATCCTGGGGAAACAAATGAATTTAACAGTTAAAAACAAAGAAGGGATGTTATTACATGGGGAGGTATTGGAAAGATGGTGGAATATTTTGAGGAGCTTTTAAATGTTAATGATGAGAGGGAAGCAGTGATTTCATGCATTGTGCTGGTAGGTATACATCCTTCAGGAATGAGGAAGAGCCAGATATTTGTGTGGGTGTCCTTTTATGAGGCAGTGAGTAGAATAATGGGAATTTAGAGGCTGGGGGTGATTGGATCAAGGTGAATCTTAAAAGCAGGGGGGATATAGTTTTGGAGTAGTTGGTAACATTTGTTTATTAAATGTATAAAGGGGGAAAGGCACCTAGGTAATGGCAGTGTGTGCATTGTTCCTCTGTATAAAGGAAAAGGGGATAAAAGTTGTAAGACTTTTAGGTGGAAAAAGCCTGTTAAGTATCCAAATAAAATGTATGGTAAAGTTATTTTTGGAAAAATTAAGGGTAAGATAGAGAGCAAGATTGCAGATGAACATATGTGGGGGAAAAAAGAACCTTATCCATGAAGCAAAAAGAGGAATGTATAGTGGTACTAAAAACTCTTATATGGGTGTGAAGCATGGGTTTTTAAATGTTGCGCAAGGGGGGCTGGGGGCAGTGGAGATGTCATGTCTGAGGGCAATGTGTGGTGTAAATATTATGCAGAGAATTCATAGTGTGGAAATTAGGAGGTGTATAGTTACTAAAGTATTAGTCAGAGGGCTGAAGAGGGGTTGTTGAGGTGATTTGGTCTTTTAAAACCCTTCGGGGTCCGTCCCGTAGATCTAGGGCTTCACGTTGAGTGTCCAAACCGTAGATTACACCAAAATTCTAGCGCCGTCAAATTTAGCGCGAAAACGCTCATACCCCTACATGTGAGAGAACGGGTCTGCGTGTGGGTGTGCGCCAAAAACCCAAAAAATTGGGCGCCCGCATAGCATTGTGGGAACACCGGGTCAGTTACCCTTGTTCACCATGCCTCGCGCAAGTCAGCTCTCACTCCCCGAAAATTGGGACACTCCTCTTCCTATCTGATAGTTCTGACAGTGATGGAAGTGGAATTGAAGACGAATTCTACCCGGGTTTGATCAGTTAGTGACCGAAAAAAATGACCAGGATATCGATAATATGCAGAAAACCCTGACGATCCTCAACCTTCTACCTCTGGTGTGGGCACTCGTGACTCACGGTTGGTTGTTCCTCAACGCAAGAGAAAACTAATATTTTCGCGTGGCCAGGCCTCTGACTTCAGTAATGATGAATGATAGTGATGTGGATTGCGATTTTATGGCGCTCGACGATCATTCGAGTAGTGATAGTGAGGAATCATATTCACCAGTTGAATGCGTCGGTATGTTTGCCGCCGCATGCGCTCGGGTAGTGTACCCTATGCTGTGCCAGGAGACGGAGTACATCCCGGAGTACATCCGTGGCCCTACACCAGTTTTAGGTAGTGATAGTGAGGATGATGTGGCTACACTTGGCATGGATAGACCACAGGCATCAGTGGATGGTGTTAGTGGTGATGGTAGTGGCACCGCCATGCGTGACTCACCAGCCCACGCTGGGACCCACGCTGCTGACTCATCAGTTCAAGGACAAAGCAGAGCGTCAGCCACCAGCCCACCACAACCACAACCACCCGCACAACCATCCTATGAAGTCCAGTATCCACCAGCAAACCGTATGTGGGATTGGCAGCAAAATCCCAATTTTGTTCCCAAGCCTCAGCACTTTGATGACTCTCAGTGGAATTCTACCTACTTGTCCCCTTGGAACCACGGCCAATGAACTGGAATTCTTTGAATTATTCTTTGACCAGCCATTGATGGAAACTATTGCCAGGTAAAGTAATAAGCATTTTGAGTACACCATGGCAAATACGATCTTATCACCACATTCAAGACTACACAGGTGGAAAGAGACGACTGTTGCAGAAATGTATTTGCTTTTGCAGCAATAATGCTTATGCCTCATGTGTATAAGCATAATATAAAAGCATACTGGTCCACAGATGGCTAATTTCTACCCCGGTCTTCAGTGAAATCATACCAGTGAACAGGTTTATCTTACTCTTACGTATGTTGCACTTCTCTGACAAAACCAGGCCTGACAGAAGTGACAGGTTATACAAGATTAGAAATGTTTTCATGTATCTCAAACAAAGTTCAGCATATACAGTGGACCCCCCCATAGCGACTTTAATCCGTGCAAGAGGGCTCTTTGTTATGCGAAATGGTCGGTATGCGAATGAATTTTCCCCATAAGAAATAATGGAAATCAAATTAATCCGTGCAAGACACCCAAAAGTATGAAAAAAAAAAATTTTACCACATGAAATGTTAGTTTTAATACACACAAACTGAAAAAAGGCATGCACAATTACATGACACTTACTTTTATTGAAGACTGGTGATGATTGATGGGATGGGAGGAGGGGAGAGAGAGTGTTAGTGTTAGAGGGGAATCCCCTTCCATTAAGACTTGAGGTGTCGAGTCCTTTTCTGGGGTACTTCCCTTCTTCTTTTAATGCCACTAGGACCAGCTTCAGAGTCACTGGACTTCTTTCGCACAACATATCTGTCCATAGTGGCCTGTGCCTCTCGTTCCTTTATGACTTCCCTAAAGTGTTTCACAACATTGTCAGTGTACAGGTTGCCACACGGCTTGCAATAGCTGTGTGAGGGTGATTTTCATCCATGAAGGTTTGCACTTCGAGCCACTTTGCACAGATTTCCTTAATCTTTGTAGTAGGCAACTTCTTCAATTTCTCTCTCCCCTCCTCTGAACCAGTTTCCTCAGGTCTGGCCTCTGCTGTTGAAGTTGATCTATCAGCTCATCAGTGGTTAGTTCTTCATTGTCCTCCTCCACCAACTCTTCCACATCCTCCCCACTAACCTCCAACCCCAAGGACTTTCCCAAATGCCACAATGGATTCCTCAACTGGCATAATCCTCTCAGGGTTAGCCTCAAACCCTTCAAAATCCCTTTTGTCTACACATTCTGGCCACAGTTTCTTCCAAGCAGAGTTCAATGGTCTTCTTAGTCACTCCCTCCCAAGCCTTACTATAAGGTTTACACAATTGAGGATATTAAAGTGCTCTCTCCAAAACTCTCTTAGAGTCAGTTGAGTTTCTGAGGTCACTACAAA